GGTCCACTCTTCAGAAAGACACAGCCTTTCTCATATTCCATCTCAGCATACTCCGTATTATAGCGGAAGGGACTGCCCAATTCCTTGCGAGTGTTCGCCACCTTGTCCAGGTAGGTCTGGGCTTCTGCCAGGCTGCCCATGTGGTAATGCACCCAGGCACAGTTGCTCCAGGTCACCAGGCTTCTCTTGCCCACCTGCTCTCTCTGGATCAAGGCTTCTGCTTCTTTCAAGCTCTGCAGGGCTTCCTCATGCTGGCCTTTCAGGTGTTTCACATAGGCCCTGAGGTTGAACATCCCCACTGGGTTTTTAATGTCTAGAAACTCAAGCTCCTCAGAGATCCTCATTTCCAAATCATGTATGTCAAATTTTTTCAACATCAGATTCCATGTGAAGTGACAATTCAGTTCAACCAGATTCTCCTTGACCTGATCACCTTCAGCATTCTCTCTGTGTGAAGGAAGCAGGTGATTTTTTATGTGAGTAATGAACAAAAATTGCCAATTAACGCCAAGCTAAATGCATTTCACAACATTCGTGCTTATTTCCTGAAAGTCTGACTGTATGTTCCTGTAGAATTTCTTGATTTTTTTGAATCAGTCTCTCTCATCTCCGTTTATTTGTACTGCCAGATACTTATTGTACATGCATGTACATGTACCTGACTTACAATCTTAGGTTGTAAGTTCATCCTTTCAGTCAAGACTGGAAATTGCCACACAGATACAGGCACAAGAACATGGATGTCAGAGTTCCTATCTGAGTTTAACTCTAAAATTTTATTCCCCATTTCATTATGTCTTTGAGGATTATGTGTACAAGTTTATGCCACCTGAGCTGAAATTAAAATAGAAAGTCACAGAATGATAATTTGTATTAATGAGGCAGAACAGCATTCATATTGTTCACCAAAGGCCCTTGAAGGGAAAGCTGTTACCTCCTAGACTATGGGAGAAAATCTGCAACTCATGGAGACCTGCCCATGTCTCCTCCATTAAGAGCCATTCATGTTGGGGAGGTCCTTGATCTGGCTAATGATCTGCCCTGGAAAGGTAAGTTTACCTTCATCCACACTAAGAAGATAGGAGGAATACTTCTCCCTTCAATGACGTAATGGAGTATTCTTTCCCAGAGTGTCTTCTCAATGTAGTGCAATGCCTAGCAGCTGCCATGAGTTTGGGCTGAGCCTGCCTGCCTTCTGAGCGCTGACCTGGAAGGTAGGACTCTTCTGCCCATCCCCCATACTTGTCCTTTCTTTCTCCTCTAAAGCTCCCTTCCCAGCCATGGGGCTGCTTGTATAATCTGTTGCTGTCCATCAAGAAGGCTCAACACAATATTCATGCATACCCCATACCCCTTTTCTTCTCTATTCTCCTATTCTGAGCGTCTACTGAGATTGACAACTTGCTTGCCCTGGGGCTTGCCATGAAAATTGCAATAAATTTTCCTGGAACTCTCTTTTCAGTCCATTTCTAAGTTCTTTTAAAAGGCAACTAAGCACCCTAAGAGGACACCCAGTTTTCACCTTATCACTAAGATAATACAACTACCAAAAGAACCACAGATTCAATAAAATCCCTATTCAGAGGCACATGACAGTTTTGAAATGAAGCTTTAAATCTCAAATCCTATAAAATATCCCAAGATGCTACAATAATAAAAGTGTTTTTGAAAACAAGGAATTAGACTCACTATAGTCTAAAACAATCAACACATTTTTGTGCTAACATGAGTACTCCTGTAGGACAAAAAGGACATATATGACATAGAGATTTAATTATATAAAGACCCAAGGGGCAAACACTGAATGCATAGCTGTGTCCTTCTGTCTAGGCTGCCACAGAAAAAAAAAGAAACTATCGACACAGAGGCTTACACAACAGAACTTTGCTACTTGTAACTTAGGAAATTATTAATGTCAGACTAAATTGCTTGCCTATATATTACCTTACCTAGTAGGTGTTTCTTCTTGAAGAACATGCAAAGGCCACATGCCTTTTCCATGGACAGGATGTCTTTCCTGTCTGAGCCATGACTTTGAGTGTGTGTGTATGTGTATGTGTACATGTGTGTGTGTGCACACTCATCTGTGTGTGTGTATGTCCATGCATGTGCTTGCATGTACGTGTGCGTGTGTGCGCATGCCTGTGCTTGCATGTGTTTGTGCGTGTGCTTACATGCATCTGTGCATATTTGTGTGTGTGTTTGTGTGTTTGCACATATGTGTGCACCTGTGTGTATGCCTGTGTGTGTTCCAGTGTGTATGTGCAAGACGTGTGTGTGTGTGTGTGTGTGTGTGTGTGTGTG